GAAAAAAATCTATTTTAAATTACATTGAAGCAAACATAAGAATATAAATGAATAGTGTTATTTGCAAAACAGGTAAGTTATTATATATGTTTAATACATATTTGAAAACAGTAAACAAGACATTTAACTGAGTATACTCAATAACAGATCATAAAACACAATCACTGCAAATAACTCATTACGCAAATTATATTTACTCAATGTGGAAGAAATGATATATATATATATATAAAGGGTGGCCTAGAAGAACGTTTAGAAAACATCATAACTAGTACAATTTCAATCTTTTTTATCCTTTTTAAAAGTTATAGAGCATCCCTTGGACGTACAATTTCCAGCAACGAGTAAAACTATTTGTTTTTTTTTTCTTTTCCAATGAATGGTCAATTATGCAAACTTTGAGAAAATACTGGCAACATTTAAATTACTCTGATAATCTCCTAGCAATAACTGAGAATCCTAGTGAATTATATCAGCATCAAATGCATACTATTATATTTCTATGAAAATGAGGAAGATCAGCCAGAAAGAATCACTGTATGGGGAAATGTTTGAATTTTTAATGCCTAGCAGTTGTATATAATCAGAAAGCAATAGTTCCTACAATCTTAACCTATTGCGAGATCGACCTGCTGCGAAAAATGTTCAGTGAACGAATAATTTAAAAATACTGAATTTGTTTAGCTACTAGGAACTACTTCGAATAATTCAAGAACTCAAAAAGAATAATCGAGCCAAAATCCGACGTTTACGACATGAAACCTTGCGTACGGCGATGGAAAATGCTGTGAAAAGAGCCTGTGACACCTCACTCACTTTGAAAGATGTTATTTTGCACACTTTATACCAAAAAATCTTCATTAATTAAATAAATCATTAATTTTCATATAAAATAATAAAATAATAAAAAAAAACATATGTTTGTAAAAGTTATATGTCTCTTAGGCACCAGCTTTTACTTAAGATTATATAATTACTTCTTATATAACATAATTAATGTCAAATTGTATTTCTAGGTCAAAAAGTTCTTAAGTTTATATTTATTAAATTAGCTTATAAAGGCCAGAAACATCATTAAATTAAGTTAAGATCATATAATTTACATAAAAGTTCACATATTTTCGTACGGTTTTCATCATAATTCATAGCATAAATAAATAATCTAAAAATAACACATAAAAACATTATAAAATGTCGCAAATCTTTTACAATAATTTCAACCAGAAATAATACTGAAAAAAATGAAATTGATATGGAACTAATCCAGAAGTTGCTTCTGAAAACAGTAGCAATCGAAGATAAATAATAATAATTATAAGATAATCCAGTTATGGAAGTATCCCGTTATACAGTAATGCATAAGCATCAGATCACTTTCAATAAAATATTGATTTTAACTGTAAATTTCTATCTTTTTATAGACTCGTTGCATAGTATTTTAATGAAGCAAAATCGTTATATGTCATGTTCATAATAAAGTTCGCAATACCAAATAAAAAATGGCACTAAATGATAAATTGAAATATTTATTTATACAGAAAATAAAACTGGCTTTATGTGCTTTATACATACAAAGATGAAGAAAATAAATGGATATTAAATATTAAACCAAAGTTGTATAAATATTGTTTTTAATCCTTAAAAGAAAGATATAATCTCTTCCCTCACTGAGTCTTCTGTCCGTTTAAAAAAAAATTGTAATTTTGGTATTTTATTTTTGATATAGGTTATATTTAATAAGTTTATGGGAATCAGTTACAGCATTTTCTAATGAAAGCCTTAATAAAGACTGACTAGTAGATGAGAAACACTTACTTCTACTAAATAACTCGGTTCCAATTTCCATTCTGTATTATCAACAAAAAATTGGTTAATGTAATTTAGACATCTAAATACTTAAACACTAAGAGTATAAATACAATCTTATACTGTAAATTGCTAATCGTGTTAGAGCGGAACAAAGTTGTAGGTTGTCGTGTTATAGGAAGAGTTTCGCAATGTATCGCGTTAGAGCGAAACCGTATTGTTGTATACAGCCTAATTACTCAACTATCTCAACAAATATTTAAAATAAATATTAAAGAGTTAATAGCAAAGCATGGTAATTATTTTTGATAAATACAATAGTGCCAGTATTTTTTAATTAATATTTAACCTTCAACTAGCTATTTCATTAGCATACGAACGTTGCAGTTCAATTTTCCTCGAGCTTATAAATTTTAATGAGAAACCTCTACTCCGCACTCTACCGCTGCCAAAAAGTATAAATCTCCACGAAAATAAAGCTCCAACATATAAATTAATATTGATAAACTGGCCGTGATTGATGTCCATACTCATTTTTTCCATGCACGCACGTTTAATTAATTAAGCAAGGGTGATTAAGTATACTCGATTTAAAGGCAAATATACTGATAATAAACCATTTGATTGCAATTTATTGCTTCAAATAAATGTCCGTGTGGGAAGTCACGGACTTTCGAGCATTTTCTACGAATGCAATATGTAAATAATAAATATTTTGGTTCCTCCTTCAACATATTAGTTTATTTTTACTGTTGAAGCAGAATAAACGCTGAAAATGCTCTCAAAGCCAATCGATAAAGTTATATAAATATACACATTGAAATTGCACTATTTTTTTTCCATTTACCATTTAAGTGCAGCATTACAATCGCAAATGTATTCTAAATTTAATTCGTCGACAATTTGTGTTGTTTCCAAGAAAATGTTCGTATATAGAAAGCATAAATTTTATTTAAATTCTGTTATTGTATATAAATATATAATATAACACCTTTGAACCAGCGTTTCGCAACCTATTGGTCGCGTTAAATTTTGAATTTGCAGCAATATAAAAAGTGTTACCTTACGTCAACGTGTCAAAAATTTATATTATAAACCATTATTTATATTTCTTTTGTCAATTTGTATACATGTTACCGTTAAAGTTAAGTGAAGTTTCTATATCAACTATATTTAATATAAAAGTATATTAAAAACGCAATATAGAATATGAAATAATTGTTATTTGTATGTACCTTACATCTTAAGTATAGATCAAAAATTAAATTTTCGAATGTAACATTAATTTAGAGTATTTCTTTTAAGAATGTGTTAATTGTATTTAAGCAAGAATTGCAGAATATGCAATGTGAAGAAACTAATGAAATTATTTTTTTATTCACACGGGTAGGAAACATGAATGTGATATAAAAGTGCTGGATGATGATGTACTTTCTACAATGTGGTTTTAAGTCAAAGTAATGCAATTTAAAGAGAATATGGAATTACAGATTTCACACGGAAGAAATTATAAGGAAAATTATGCATTTAAGGTATTGTAAATGGAGACACACTTTACTCGTAAACACATTCTTAGCTTGCTGTAAAAGCTGAATATATATTTGGTACATACTTTAGATGTTTGTCGAAACCTAAATAGGAAATTCGTTAATAAAAAAAATAGCACGGATTAGAATGTATTTATCTAAATTTAATCGGAATAACAGAACAGGTTTCCTGGTTTATATCCTTTTATTTTTATATATTTATCTATATAAATGTTTGTATATAAAAAAAATAAAGAACAAAAATAATTCCAAATATTACAAAAGTTGGTATATCAATTATGTATTACAAAAGATGTCTATCTGATAATTGCAAATAAGATATGTAGCGAATATTCTTTGTATTATTGACAATCTATGTTAATTTGATCTTCGATTCGAAATATATGCTAAAAAATATAATATTTAAAAAAAGAGAAAATAGAATTTTTTTTATTTTAAAAATGTATAAGGAAATGAGATGATTTCGTAGAATAAAATACATAAAATTCTATAAAACATATCTTATATAATTTATAAAAGAAACTTTGTCGCATTTCTTTTGACAGATTTTTAATAAACAGACAAAACATGTTTTTAATGCATACAAAATAAAAGATCGTTTCATACTTAAATTATTACACGAATTTAATTAAATCAGAATAGAAATAAACGGATGTTTCAGGCTATTTTTTCTACTATGTTTTATAATTGTTAGTTATTTATTTAAATATATTAAATATAGTGCATTGCGAACATGTACATACATGAAAATAAATTAATATAGATTGTATGAATACTAAATATAATTGTAAAACGGAACTGCGATTATGTTCGTAAAGCATGTATAGTTTATGTAGTATCTTGCATGTTAGCACTTCTAGAAAATATATTTTATGTTATAGAGAGATATGCATGACAATTGAGAAAGTGGACAGCGTTTATATTAATTGATAAAAGCGGAAGGACAGGTTTTACTTCAACATTATTTAGAAAGAACATAATTAATGTTTATAAATAAATCTAATTATTTTGTATTATGCAAACAACAAAGCAAAGCTTTAAATACTTTTAATTGCATTCATTACAACAATCAATAAACGTAATCAGAAAACACGTAGACAAAATTTGGTCGTTAGTCAAATTAGAACCAATAAAAATATGTAAATAAATTAGAATATAATTGAAGAAAAGTTTGAAACCTTTGCACTTAGCTATTTATTGTAGGTCTTGTTTCAAAATAATGTTTAGTTGACTATCTAGTATTAGCAACATTTAAATATTTATTAAAAAATAATAATTAAGACTAAACGTTTAAGCAAGTGATGATAATCATATAATATTTGTTTTATTATCGAGTTTGAAGTGTTGAAGGAAGCAAATGTTAAGGCTGTCCAGCGGATTGCCGACAAAAGAATGAAGAGTAAATAATAGATGTGACACGAATAAAATGAAATTAAAGTTATTGCATTCGAGCCGCGCTCCGCTCAGCCTTGTTCTTAATATAGAAAAAGAAAATAAAAGAAATGCGTATGCAAAGAGTTCGAATTGAATTTCTTCTCAGGGAAATTTTGAGCACTTTCTCTTTCCGAAACCATCGATATTCCAACAAGTAAAACAGGAAAAAGATAAACGGAAATGATTTAACTGAATTATTATAAATGTTGCTACCTGATTGCTTTGAGCAATTTCAAAACTGGATGATCCATTGCTTTGATTCATTGTGGTCATCTTGAAGATGTGTAGTAAATGCAATTGGATTAGTGTCTTCGTAGTTCACTCACTCACAGCGTTTGGGACATGCTCCGGTATTTTGTTTTGTTTCCCTTTTGATTTCTGTTTTGGTCCGAATGCGTGGGCGTTAAATCGGTGAAGAAAGTTTCGCGTGTTCTACATATCTCAGTGAGCGGTGAAATACTACTGACTTGTGGATGAAGAGAACGTAGTCATGAATACCAAAACTCACTCGGTGTGAGTGTGTATATTGTATGTTGTACATACTCAGGTGGGGATCATTTGTAACCAGTTTACCTCTAAACTTGCGCCACTTTTTTTCTCATTCTCTTAACAACCATCAACACCACATTTATCAATAAATATGTTCTTCCTATCACTTCACTTACACGTCGAGTTTACCAAGTCGCATACCCAACAATTATTTTAAGCGAATATTTATTTCATTGCACACCGTTTAAATTAGCCTCGAATAAATGCTAAAACGTAAACAAACAAACAAAAATCCGTGACAAACTCGTTAGCATTTCATTTAATAATACAAGAATATATTTTTTTTTAATATTTGTATACTTGCCATTTTCGAGATTGTAAATTGCAAGTTCGTTTTAGCATTTCGCCTTGTAATTTGAATTCGCGCGTTTAAAAATAAAATCCGCTAGATGCGAGAAACAATTATTTAAATTTATTTAAAACTAATTCGTATCGCGATCTCTCGTGATTTGTAAATCGATTTAAATTTAGATACTAATTTAGTTTGCGTACGTGTTCCACTTTGTGAATATACCGGACGCATTTGCTGGAGGTTACAACCTACGGATACCACAATCTTCGGAATAACATTTATCGGTATTTATTATTGATTCCATTTTGCGAGTAAAAAATCGTGTTTTTTTCAAAGTCGTTGAATTCACGAAGGACAGAACGTTGGTATATATATTGATAATGAAAGAAAACAGTAGATAATAAATGAATGATTAATAAATAATAATATTTATTGAAACACTTATAAATACATAAATAATGAAACGTATTTATAATATATAATCATCAAAAAATAAATTTTACATTCAGATATAGGTGTCACCACTCTATATAAATAAGTTTTTAATTAATAACAATAAAATTATTATTCAAATATTTGAATGTTTTTACCTTTTTTATTTATTATCACTAAAATTGCTTTTACGTAGGACTTTTTATATTACATTGTTCTAAAATATTGTTTTAAATTAATTATATACTTTTGCCTTTACTAATAACACTATAAAACTAAAAAATACCATCTCTATACCAAAGTAAGAAAATACAAAATACAAGACGAACCAGAAAGAGGAGACCAATGAACTTAGGTGGTTTATATATTAAGTTAATCTATGATATTTTAGATATTAAGATAGGTCAAATGTATTAAATTAAGTTCTATTTTAAAAAAGAAAAATATTCTTTTTGAAAATAGCAATTTTCAAAGAAGAAATATTAAATAAGACTGTGACTATTTATTTATAAATTTCTACCTAAACTAAACAGTAAAAATTAAGCAAAAAGTACATCAGTTAATAAAAAATAATGGTATAAAATGTTTTAGAATTAAATTTCTAATAGGAGAAAATTATATACAGAAATGTTCCTATTGCATTGTATTAATTTTCCATGTTAATATTTTTTTTAATATTCATTTTCAGAATTTTTTATACCATATTTTGGTACAGAGAGAGTGTAATAATAAAAAATAGTCTTATGGTTTTATCACAATTTGTCTATATCAGCGTTGCTTAGCCCAATATTGCAATCGCATTGAAAAACTATGATCTATTTATGTTAGGGATGATTTTTAGTTAAGTCACTATTTCGCAATTCTGCTGTAACATTTTTTTTTACTACCAGTTCAATATTATAATTCAGACACCCTTAGCATTACGTGACTGATGATCTTTTACTAAAGAAATCTTCTAACAAACAGTGACTAAAATATAAATTTAATAGGATTAAATTGTATAATCCCTGTTTAGCTGTAATGTAAATTTCATAACAGAGCCCAACATTCGATTTTGTTGAAAGAAAGGCATAGTAACATAAAAAAACACTGATTTATCCAATATTGGTCTTTTAAACACATTTTATTTACAAATTGCAAATGTATCTAAGAATAATATTTTACAAATAAACTATAAAAAGAAAAATAAATACTTTAGAAGCAATATATACGCAGATGAATTCCATTATAGTAATAGACCTTCAACTAAGTTCTTAAACTACGTGCGGTGCATGAATATCTGTGGCATTTATATTTGTTACTATTCTTTATTAATTTGTTCAATATAGCCACAAGGTCTGGGTTCCACTACAACAGTATAACGTTTGTATTGAACTTGATGAAAAAAAAACCGTTTTAAAATTATCTCAAGAGACAAACACTAAGTTTGTGAAATGAACAGGATGTCATTAGTCGAACTAAATATATTTTTAGGAACAATCCAAGGTCCTAAAACTAAAATAAAATTAACATTTCATATTCTGACATCTGTCAAGTACAATCTATTTTTTTTTAATTTTTATAAGTATGCAACCGAACCCTTGGTGCCTATATGGTACATAGAAATAAAATTAGTATTTCTTGTTTCATTAACGCGAATTTATATTTTTAAGATTGTAATTTATTTTCTTATTTTCTTAATGTGCTTAATATTAATTTCTTGTAATATTAAAAAAAAAATGTAATATCATCTCTAAAGATTTTCAAAATTACTTATATTTAGTAAGTGTGTGACCAAACAAAAAAAAAATCAGTAGATTGGTTCGTGACACCGATAAAAAAAATAGAATTAATAAAATAATTGCTAATGTCTCATCTATGATGTCAATTTCACTTTTTCATTAAGAGGATCGTATGTAAGAAAATGGTTTTCCAATTGAATGGCTAGTTGAAGCCCTAACTTGCAGTTAGCGGAGTATTTCTATCATCAACACTATAATTTTCTTCTAGCAGATCAGGAAAGACACAAAATAGAATACAATTGAAATTCGCTGAACGAGCATAATCCGTTTCAAAATTTCCGGATTTTTACTCTTATAGTGTAACAATATTCCCCATATAAACTAATCTAATATACGATAATACGTTCCATTTTGGAATCATTTTTCTTGCAATTTATTTTACTCTTTTTGCGAAATGCTCGTTATACGAGGTGCTCGTTACACTCAGAAGCAGAACTACATTTTGCCGGACCACGCAACGCAAGGGGATTGAGAATTTTATATTAAAAATGTATTTATGGATTTTTTAGAGTTTATAACATTTCTTAAGGTTAAAAGTGTAAAAAGGAAATTTAAAAGAAAGTTTATAATATTCGATGGCAGTTATCGAATAAACCACTTTTTTAACCCATATACATCAGTGATGATATTTTATATTTAAGATTATAACAAATCAATTATGTTGCTTTTGCAGATATTTATTCAAACTATCTTTTAGTTGAGAATATTTTTTCAGGTTAAATATTTTAAAACTAAATTAATAGAAAGTTTATAATATGCGATGTCAATTATCAAATAGATATATTCATTCTGTCTTTTTAACCCTTATAAAGTAATGATATTTTATAATTAAGGTTATAATCAACTTCTTTAGATATCAGAATAATAGCTAGATATATTGAAAAAAAAAACATAATTTAAAGAACCTATTTTAAAGATGTTTTCTAAAAATAATTTAATTCTAATTATATAAATTACAGTTTGCAGGTCAAGGAAATGTGATTCATATTATCATTTTTTTTTTGTAATTGTAAAGAATACTCGAATTGTTAATGGAGTTCAGTCATTCATGAGTAATGCTCTATCATAACGTCCTCAAATACTCCAAATTATTTCATTCGCAACATACAATTAGGAAAAATATTAGAACATCTGCTTTTAACAGCACCCAGTTTTCGAAACTTATTTATAATATTGTTTGTAACATTTATGTAAAAATGTATACATTGATGTAGCTCTAAATATATGTAAATATATGATTGCCACCGTACAATCGCAAACCCGACAACCGAAATCCCGAGTGTATCGAAATCCCGACGTTCGAAATCCCGAGTATATCGAAATTCCGACGTTCGAAATCCCAACTATATCGAAATCCCGACGTTTGAAATCCCGACTATATCGAAATCCCGACTATGTCAAAATCCCGACAATCAAAATCCTGACTATATCGAAATCCCGTCTAAATCGAAATCCCGACAATCTAAGATTATTAATTGTTGTTATTTATTGTTAATAACATAAACTAATTTTATTATTTAATTAATATTTCTTATTCTTAAGTTTTATAATGAATAAATCAACGAAAAAAAAATATAATAATAATTAATATTATTTATTGTTATTAAGAATAAATAACAGCAATTAATAATCGGGCAAAAGAGCCATCGACCTAAGTCTTAAAAATATTTTTTTCAGTATCCGTCGTACCTATTAAAATATAGTAGAATAATATAAAATGTTATTGTAAAAATTGTAGTATGGTATGTATGGTAGTCGGGATTTCGATACAGTCGGGATTATGGTAGTCGGGATTTCGAACGTCGGGATTTCAATACACTCGGGATTTCGAATGTCAGGATTTCAATAGACCGTCTTTCAGTTTTCGAGCTTGCGATATAGACCCATGTAATAGTGCAGAAAGACCTATAATCAATAACCCTTTAAAACAGTTGACTTTTTGATTTATGATATTTATATTATTGTAATGAGTTTTTATGATTATTATTATTATTTTATTATATGTAAATTTTATAATTGAAATAGAATTGAAACGAATAAAGTTTATGTGATTTCGCTCATAATTTTCCATCAATCACGAGATTTTTTAGTAGCATTTTTGTAAGTAATTTTTTGTTGTTATTATATTAATGTTCTTTGTTTATTAACTCGAGTCGTTATTGCTGAACTAAAGTTATGATTTAATAAATATATGTACAAATTAGATTTATAGACCCACAGTTACAGTTCGAGGTATACTACTAAGAAGACAACACCGAAGAATTAATTAAATTACTTTCACAAGTGGTGAATGGCAAAAATGTAACAATTCTTTCTCACGAATAAGTTTAATATAGACTTCTAAAACAACAAGAAAAAAATATACAGCGTTTGTTGCATAGAAAATATTTTTGCAAAATTGAAACCATGGTTAATTAAAACTACTATGAAGCAATTATTCTAAGTACACATTGTGAATACATACTGTCATAAAAGAATAGTTTATATCGTCCGTATTTTCTGGGAAGATATCGTCGCCCTTCAGAGGATGATAATGGTAATCGTACACACTTTTATACAGCTTCATCATGGTGAGATGCGGTGTGCTTTCACTAACATTTTGAGATGAATACTAAAAGGTAAAAAGATCAAGCTGTTTACATTTTGCCAAACACTTTCACTTCTCTATCCTATCTAATACACAATAACTGTGAGTTGGCTGCAACAAGGCCACATAACTTATTAAATATTGTATGTGCATGTTTGTACTTATCACTTTGTTATTTTTATTCTTTTTAGTTATTTATTATATGTGACTTTATTCATATCCATAATTATTAAATGAATACGCTTTGAAATGTATAAACATTTCTTATCGCCAAGTTATTTTCAGATGTTTTATTTTTTGAGAATGATTTCAAAGTGAATAAAAATCTTGTATATTGTATTATATTTGTAATTTTATCAAAAAAAAATCATTTAGCGCTTACATACAAATAAAACTTTAAGAAAATCGTTTCGAAATGTGCAATTTTATTTCAAATATATGACAGTTATTTAGAGAAACAGACAAAAATAAAACAGATTTATCATGCCTTTTAAATGTTTGTATTGTTTCTTAATATTGTTTATTTTAAGACTATCTGGATTATATCCTACAACCAAATATTTGAATTCTTTCTATATTTTTTTATTTTTATTATCGAATCATACATTTACATATGAGATGTAACTGCAATACTTTTAATGTAGTTTTTCGACCTTGACCATGGATGCCGCAGGCTGAGATCCATATATGTTAATAATAACTTTACCTAATATAATATTATTAAATAAGAATAGGATAGCAGAAATTTGGCGATGGTCATAAAAGAATGTTGTATACAATTGTTTTTTTTTGTACTTGAGCAGCGTTGCTTAATCCTCATTTCATTAAAAATGTAATGATATCTATATTATTATTTTCTATCAGTTTTTCACCAATAATAATAGGTATTTGATATCGATTATCTGTAATTTTTATTTTAGTTATTTACAATTGTAGTATACTTCTGCGTTATTTACTATTAAGAAGGTGCAATGTTAGTCTACGTTTTACGAGTAATATAACTCAATACAAGAAGGTTTATTATTATTATATAAAATAAATAAAATTCAAGTGCTTCAAATTATACAATCATTTGGAATCCGATGAGTTTTGAATAGAAAATTCCATGATTTTTTATCATTTCATAAACTTAATCATTGTTTCATCAATTTTCATGTTAAAATATACTGTGAAACGAGCTTAACGAGCAAAAAAATTTAACAACAATGACTCACTTAACATTCCTCAAAATTGACGTATTGGAGCTTTCCAAGTTTGACATTAAATGCATTAATTATTGAAACTGAAGACTCTTTCGTTATTTTTTTTTCGGAAACAGTAAGACATCGCAAGGCGGGGTCGATAGAATAAGGTGCTGTGCAAATTTCATGAGCAAATGATCGTGATGTAAAAAGTAAGTTCTCCTTTTTTCTGGTTTTCCAACAAATTTTTTAAAATTTGTGGTAAGCAAGTTTCTGTACATTACTTAATAGTTACTGTTTGACCAGTTTCTAGTGAGATAACAGCTACGACTTTTGCCCCGTTAATAACTTTTGTCTTGCTTTAACTGGGGGGATTTGCACCTTCTGCGCTCCATACCACTGCTGCCATACAGACTGCTGCTTGGTTTCCGAGTCGTATTTATAGAAGAATATTCATGACCTGTTACGATTTTCCTAAAGGTGCTATAATCTCCATTTACAAAATTTTCCAAGAAATATTCGGCAAAACGTGACTTTATTTGGTCGTCATTTAAAAATCGAGCGGATTTCTTCGTGTAGCCCAAGTGTGATTTAATATTTGCGACAAAGCTATGGCATTCAAGCACAGTTTATCAACTACAATTTTCTGTGTCATTTTTGGATCTTCGACAACTTTTACCTTCGAAAATTTCGGGTGAGCTTCATGAGGTTCATCCTACACTGAAAAATATCCGGTCTGAAATCTTTGAAACCACTTGGAAATAGTCGCAAGGGATGATGCATTCACTCCATATGCATTTTGGCATTCCTGGAAAATTTGTATAGACTTGAGTTAACATCGAAATCCCAAGAGAATGACAAAAAAAATTTATTGCTGTATTTGTGATGGAACTTCTACCGATCTTCCTGAAATTTTACATAAAATATAGTAGGACTTTAACAAATTGACAAACAACTTTTGTTTTTTCAGAATTAACGCCTAGTTAACGAATTGTTGTTAGACCCCACGCATGTATGTAAACTTTACAAAAATATCGCCTAAAAAAAAGTAGCAAGATTTTTTTTGGTCCCTTCGGACACAGGTTTTCTAGGTCCCTCAAATATTTGAATAAGAATTAACTCAATTTTTTTTAGGAAAATTATAATAATTTTGAGACAAAGTTAAATAAAATGTCGCAATCTTTCTGCTCTGGACATAATATTTATATACAAAATAAAAATAATAAAACAACAAAAATTAGCAATGTCTTATGCTATAGGTATTATATAAACCCAAAATCATTCTGACCTAATATTTTAAATATGTAATTTCGTTTTGGCATCCACTTTTCTAAGAAACTGAAATATTCATGAGAAGTTCAGTAATTTTAAGTAACGCTTCGTGGACCAAATTTTAGGCTCCAGATTAACATAAATTAGGAGCCCTGTGCAAACTTGAATTTGGAAACCCGAGCAAATTTTATTTTAGAGCAACTTCTTATTTGCATCATATGACTTGCTTCGTGAGCACATGTACTTTGCACCCCCGATTGCTACGCCACTGTAAATTATCAAGTATGAATAGTTGTATCGAAGTAATTATCAACATATATATTAATTACAATGGTCCAATGAATCGAGTGACTTTGCAACGTCAGCATTAAGGAAGTAATTATCCCAATAACACGAAAATGTTGTTTATTTACTTCTATGCATATTAAATAGAATACACAAATTAAATATGTTTTTACATATATTAAAAAATATTCAAATTTAATATATATTTAAAACATATAGGCTAAGAAGCGGTATTAACAACACAATTATTATTAAAAATGAGTCAATATATTTCTTCAAGTCAAAATAAAACTTACAATATAATATAGAATTTAACTTATAACATTACTCAGTTAAATAAAATTTATTAAATAAATTATTTCTTGGATCTTGGACTGTCATTGGAAAAGTTTCCTTTGCGTTTTCTGTTATTAAACTTTCCTGGTTTCCTATATTTATTCTTGTTCCTTCTTTCCTTGACATCATTTGCATGTTTAACATTATATTCTTCTTCTTGTGTAGCATCCAAAGTTTTGAAGACAATCTTGGCCTCACCAAGATCCAAATTACCTTCCTCCAAAGTTTTGTGGAAATCATTTCCAGCATTCTCAGAGGTAAATCTAATGTAACCTTCTGTTTGTCCCTTGTTATAATCAATGAATGCAATTTCTGATTTGCATAATTCCTCAACTTTAGCACGGATGATCTCCCTTGTTACAGTTTGGTCTTCCTTGATACCTGAGAAAAACAAGACTGATCCAACCGCAACAGGGTTAACTTTGATTTCTTTTGCTTCATCCTTGTTCTTTTTGCCCTTCTTATTTCTTCTCTCTTCAATTTCAGTTTTCTTTTGTTCATAATAATCAGCTTGCATTTTGCGGATCAACTCAACTTCTTTATATTTAATGGTTTCTGCTTCAACAAATTTCTTGCACTGTTCAACATCTTTAAAGATAATGAAGCAAGATCCTTTGAATTTGTGTTCTTTGGCAATTTTATCCAAATAGTTGCGCTTCAAGCAAGTTTCAACTGGACCATGTTCATCTAGGAAAGTCCTAATAGCATCTAATGTTTCATCAAGAGGGAAACCTTTGGCATAAGCTATAACAAAATAAACATTGAATAGAAATGCATTTGGGAATAGAATAAAAAAGCTTACCAGTTCTTTTCATCAACTCTTGTTTACGTTCTTCATTTAATTCTGGGGCTGGCAAATCTGGATTCCTCCTGACCTTTTTCTTATCTTCACTGACACAAACCAATTTGTTTTCAGATTTCTCGATAGCACCAGCTATAACTTCTTCTTCATTGGAGAGTGCAGCCAATCTTTTAAATGTGAGTAAAACTTCAATAGTTACCCAACCCTCATCTTCTTTAATTTTCTCTATCAAAAACTTATCACGTGGTAAGTTAATGTCTCCGAAATAATACTCGATCTGGTTAATAATTTTCTTTTCCAAGTCACTTGCCATTTTGCTAGTAAATTGTTGTCTATAAACGAAAAACTCGAACTGAAATGCGGCATACAAAACACGTGTTGGTTAAGTACAGCGTCAACCCCCACGCTCGCAAGATACCAACAGAATAACAGAAAATTACAAAGTTAGGAACATTACTAATTTAATGTGCCTTTGACAAATATGATTATGTAATAATTAATTAGAGAGATTAAGAGAGCAGAGATAATTGTAGATATAATAGTTTATTTTTTTAACTGATTATGTTATTGATTAATAGACAGAATTGAGGTGATATCTAGGGAATTTTATTTTGCAAAGTTGCAGGAAACATGATGAGGTGCAATGTTAGTAATCCACAAGGCCTTTTTCCGGTTAGCCTCAGTGCCATACGGTTGTATTCGGTGCCATTGGTGAAATTTAAGAACATCTAACAAAATGAGGATCTACAAAGATAAATTCACTGGTAAATATAATTAATTTTTCTTATTTTATGTCTTTTCAACTCTATTTTTCGTCCATCTTGCATATATATAATTATACTTAACCTGCAATTATGACCTATATACTAATTGCTGTACTGTATTATTTTAAGGTGACGAGATGTTCTCCGACTCCTACAAAATGAAACTCGTCGATGAGGTACTCTATGAAGTTTACGGAAAATTGGTTTCCCGTAAACACGGAGACATCTCAATTGCGGGCTTCAACCCGTCTGCTGAAGAAGAGACTGAAGGCACCGATGAAGCAGTTGAAACTGGTGTCGACATCGTCTTGAACCACAGATTGTGTGAAACATACGCTTTCGGTGACAAGAAATCGTACACAGTTTACCTCAAGGATTACATGAAGAAGTAAGTCCTGAAACGTCAATTCAACTGTCATAATATTAAACATTTGTGGTGCCAAGTTGGCAAACATATGTTTCATATGTATGACTGATGAGTATACTTGAAACAAAACTAATAATTGTTCTTTCTTTTTATTAGGCTTGTAGCTAAATTGGAAGAAACAAACCCAGACCAAGTAGATGTGTTTAAGACCAACATGAACAAAGTTATGAAAGACATCTTAGGCAGGTTTAAGGAATTGCAATTTTTCACTGGAGAATCCATGGAAATTGAAGGTATGGTTGGCCTTATGGAGTACCGTGATGTAGAAGGAGGTCAAATTCCAGTCATGATGTTCTTCAAACATGGTTTAGATGAAGAGAAATTCTAGTTCAATTAATTACTATTTCTTCAATTTATTTATCGGCCCCATCTACATATTTATATATATATTTTTGCAATTTATTTATGTTCTTTGGTCTGTTGAATATTAACAACTTGTAACGTGTACACTCATGTAATTCTATTGCAAAATTTTACGAACATCTCATTTTGAACGTTTTTAATATGGATTAATTTCCATTATATGAACAACAGCTGTGAATAAATACAATTTTTTTAAATTTATTTTCTTATATATATTCTTTTATATTCCTTTCCAACATTTTGTATTGAATATTATAATCATTGTGTGACTTTAAAAGATTATATTATTTATCTGAGATATTTACATATATTGATATTCTAGTATGTGTATTTATAGTCAGTCTTACATTTAAAATATTTATTTATATAACTAAAATAATAACCTCAATATTAGAAGCTTAATTAAACATCCATAACAATATTGAATAAATGGTCGAAGATTTTAAATACATTAAATTCAATATAAAGAAACATTCACTTTCTCTATAGTTAAGTAGATTTTAGTGTACATATTTGAAAATTATAATTTTTATTTAGTTTTTTTTTATGTATGAGAACTTATTTTTTTTACAATTTCTCTATACGCTGATTATAAAAACTGATTTTACATTTGATATTCTTTTTCTTTTATTAAACCTCCACTCCATTCACTTGGTTTGTGTCAAGCACAATTTTGCCAGCTACCGCCTACATTTGATATTGGAATAAAAGATCTTGATTATGTCATTGTTTGAATTACTAATAATTTTACAGGATTCTGCTGTATGCAACTGAAGTTAATTGTATATTGAACCACTCCCATTTGAATGTAGGACTCAATCGAAAATTATAATTTAAACACAAGTATTCAGTTGTATTATTAAATATTAATGAATATTAAAATGATTGTTTATAAATGTATTTGTTATCATGAAACTTTAGTCTTTGCAAATTAGAAAATATTTTTTGTGATATAGTATATTAATTTAGTATTATTGATACATTAATTTCATTGAATACTATATTTAAGTGCATTCCAATAATAACTAGTCATGAATACAAATCGTGAAATAGTAGGATGACATTTTGGTACAATGAACTCTATTTGCATTATAAACACGTTCAGCAATTTTCACTTTCATGTAGTTTTTATATGTTGTGACTATATAGTAAGCAACAAACAACTGCAACACACATGTTACTTAATATATATGTACAGTACAACATAATATAGTATTTTAATTTGCATTGTAAAGCTATTTGAAACAATTTATTTATATAATACAGAATGATCATGGAACACAAATAAACAATTTCATATTTATGTCGTATTGTTGAGGTAAATACGTATTTAATATTCTCTAATTAGGATAGTTTTAACTCATTCGAAATAATATATGTCGTTTAATTGAATGAAATTTTAAAATATATGAGCAAATTTTTAACATGACGGAAATTTACTTTCTACTTCTTCGCGAACTGCTTCTCCCTAACTTTTACATTCAAATGAATACGATGTGTTCCACGAAATTATTTCAATTTTCAAATACTATTTCCCTCTTAAAGAAAATGAAAAACGTTATTTTTTTCAATCAAAGAAAAAAATATTAAATAAATAGTTAACTTACATTTTCAACATCAACCTTTTAATTTTTCTGTTCGGCAGGAATATCTTTAATTGTTTCTTTACTTTTGTTGTCTTCGTTGCTAATAATATTTTCAAAATATTTTATAGAAAAACCATCTTCTGCATTTAATAAATTTATTTTTTACTTATTTATTCCGACCATATTTTGTGCTAAACTTCATTTCATAATTTCTTAGACTTTTTTCCAAGATCTATCATGTTTTCCGGAAAATTGCGGATTTCATTACACCGTGGATTTTTTTTTATCAAAGGTAACGTTAACAGAGGTATGGCTGTACAGATCTTTTGCTAAACATTCTTCAAAAAATTTATTAATTGTAGAAATTTTGTCAACTTTTTTCTTATTCTAGGTTCTAGTCTTTGTTAGAAAAAGGTTGAAAATGTACATAATTAACGCATATATCAATATATGGCTGATAACATTGGCTACTGGTAACCAGTGTAGTAACTAAAATGTTACCCTAAAAGTACGTAGACTTAGCTCAACTTAATTTAATTAATTGTCCAACATGTATACATTAAATGAAAGAACATAGTTGGCAAATAAATGAATCACTTTACCTGATAACCCAAACAACCCGATGTAATCGTTATTATTGATTACGTATTTTGATGACAGACAAAATGTTATATATTATTTTTCTATAAGTTAAATGTGTTTCTTTTAATAAGAATATTTTGGCATTAGAAGAGCCTAACTACATTTATCTGCGATTCATTCATTTTGTGTTGTAAGGTAGTAATTTATAACAAATCATATTTAATTTGGTTGTAATATTAAATCTGAGATGATTTGTAAACAATTTGCGTCCAACTGATTGACAAATACTGGTTTAGCGCATGCTATTTGGCAGATGCAAGAAAAATGAGATAGCCACGTGTTTCCGGTTGCACTATTGAGCGCAAATTTGAAAATATTCCTTTTGATCTTTGATATCTTCCGTAAGCGATGATATGAAGGATCGATTGTAATTGCGATGTAGTATTTAACTTTGTACGTAGATCTAGTGTGTACGTTGTTCTCGATTAGAATATATACGAAGATTAACGAGTAAATTGTTATGAATTAGCCGAAGAATGTTGGCTAAATCAATGAGCAACGAGACGCGCTTCAATGAGAACCAGTTGAATAATTGTTTGTGCTGGATTTATATAATTGTAAGCGCAGTCGTAGCGCGTGTTCGTGCTATTTTTCTTGTATTCGTACAGTTTTTGAACGCAGGACAGTCGACACGCGTATCTGTTCTGTGTGGAGTCGCAGGATAAAAGCACCGCGCAGCTCGTAGGGTGGCGTGTGTTTTCATCCTTTCCCTTCTAAAGGGAATGCCGATCGATTGTTCATCATCAAATCGACAACATTACGCAAGGTAAAGTCCAGTGGCTTCTTCACCTAACCTAACATTCTGCAAACCAATTTGCGACCTCGGATTTAAATCAGGACATTATAAATAAAAACCAGTTGCTCAACTCCTTTCAAAACTTTCACGTGGATACTCTATTTCTTTAATTTTGGCGCGCATATTATACCTTCTTCTGTTCTATTACTTATTACATCAAATTATTTGGTTTCGCATTTTACCAACATCGAAAATGTTTATATGAAAAATTATGTTTTAATCAATAATCTAGTATTTCGTTAATTATATTCTATTTTAATTCATTAAATTCTATTTAATTTCATGATTATATGATTCATTCAAACATTGATCCATCGTAACTAATAGCTAAATACCCTTTGAAAAAAATCTGGAATCTACAGGTCACTCGTCAATGTCATATCATTTACGTTTAAGGTATCATGAGGTTGACAGAAAGTGGTCATTAAATATCAAAGACAACCGACCTATCGATTTACAGCTAAACAAATAAATGCATTATTTATGAATGTAATTTGTGTTGACATTAATAATTTTATTAAATGGCTATAACTACACAAATATATATGTTTTTTTTACTTATTCTGCTTGTGTATATTTTAATGTTGGTCCTAAAATATTTTAATTGTTCTAATCGGATAACGAATGCTTTTCGCGTTAAATAAATTTTCCACACCATTGTAACAAATATAATCTGCAAAACTTTATGTACTTACTTTTTTTTATTACACAATTCAACAAGTTTTATAGCATTAATACAATAGCAAATAATTACGTTACATATCTTAATAAAGTAGAAATAGGAAATTTTCTAATTTCATTGTTTTATTTTATTATAAAATATTATTTCTCTTCGTTTATATAAAAAATGATTAACGGAACATTGTACTTTATATATTATTATATAATTATGTCGAATATGGCACGTTAATGATGTTTACTTGAAGGTCATTAGCCTTAAAATTAAAAACGTGTTTATGCAAATAATTTAGAGGATATCCGACACCAGACATCCTATTGTCGAGTTGCTTATTGAACGAAATAAGTGGCATGATGAGTATTAGTTGAAGTCTGAGAATTGGAAGTCAGCCGCTAATCAATTCAAAGGTCGTTACTGCAGACATTACGTATATTCAACTAACCCTTAGAATACATTTATCGTTTGCAAGATAAATATCATCAACGGTAAAAAAAAACTTTAGTGCTATCAAAATGTTGTTGATTCATGTTGAGTAAACAGTCTCCTGTGGGAATCCGTTGCTTTATCTAAACAGCGATTCCGTGTCAAGGTTTATTATGTGCGCAAAGAAAGTTAATCCATTATTGAGTTTAAAATAAGTGAAAATCATTATTATTTTTGTTTTCATTAGTTTAGCATAATTAAGACTTAATAAGGATTTAACCGGGAATTAAACATCGTAAAGATAGCATCGTCGCTTTTCTGTTGTGTAAGATGTTAATTAAAAATCATGTTAATTAAATCGTATATGCATTTGACACAAAAGCATCAACTGTTAATTGAATTACACAACGCGTAGTTTTGTTACAGATGAATTGACATATCCTCAAAGAATCTCAAGATGATCGGACTTTTTGGCACCTGGGACTATGTTGTCCTGTTGCTGGTGCTGCTTATTTCTTCCGGTATTGGAGTGTATTATAGATTTACTGGAGGAAAACAGAAAACTGTTCAGGTATCATTCACTATATATTCTTAATAATTAGTAGTTCAATTATAATTTTTTAGGAATATTTATTGGCTGATAAAAATATGCCGGTGATGCCAGTTGCATTCTCGTTGATGGCATCATTTATGTCTTCTATTACGTTACTTGGTGTATCCAGTGAGAATTATACTTTTGGCCTTCAATTCATCGTCATTAACATCTCGTACGGCATTTTCACGCCGATAGCAGCGTATTTATATCTTCCAGTTTTCTTTAGGTTACAAGCCACAAGTGCTTACGAGGTGCTTTTAATATAATTATAAATATCTGTAGAATGTATTTAATGACTAATACACTTTTAGTATTTGGAGAAGAGGTTTGGAAATGCTTGCCGCTTGGCTGCATCCTTAGTTTACACAACCCAAATGGTTCTGTACATGGGTGTAGCCTTGTATGCACCCGCCATAGCTTTAGAGGCAGTGACAGGAATTAGCCAATTGGCTGCCATTTTATCTGTTGGTAAGATTTACTCTACCTACTGTTTTCAATATTTTCAATTTTGTTATTTTTTAATATAGGAATAGTATGTACATTTTATTCAACGATTGGAGGTATGAAAGCCGTTCTGATGACGGATGTGTTCCAATCTCTGCTCATGTTCGCCGCCGTATTTAGTATAATTATTTGCGCCTCCATGGATGTTGGGATAGATGGCATTTGGGAGCTAGCAACTCAAGGAAGACGCACAGAACTCCTAAAGTACTTAAAACGCTACTGTAATATTTCGTAATGTTAACATTTGTTGCTTTGTTTAGTTTCAGTATAGATCCAACTGAAAGACACTCCTGGTTTACCTTGATAATAGGAGGAGGCGTTACGTTTTTATCATTATATGCTGTGAATCAAACTCAGGTCCAAAGATACTTAACAGTCAAAAGTCTTAAATCAGCGCAAACGGCACTGTGGCTCAACTGGCCTATCCTGACGCTGCTTAGTTTAAGTACCTCATTTGCAGGTTTAGCGATTTATTCAAAATACCATGATTGCGATCCGGTATGCGCAAAACAAATTACCAACCGTGATCAGGTAATTAATTTAATTTTAGGAAATACTTATAATTAATAATAATACATTTTAGCTAATGCCGTATTATGTCATTGACACCATGGGACATATACCTGGACTTGCCGGACTCTTTGTAGCTGGTATTTTCAGCGCAGCCTTGTCATCAATATCAGCTTCATTGAACAGTTTAGCAGCAGTCACAATAGAAGATTACTACAAAGTAATATAATTTTATAACTGTAACATAATTGTAACATCATTCTTTTATTTGTTTAGCCTTTATATAAGAAGATTTGGAAAACAGATTTACCCGATAAGGCAATAAATATCCGCACCAAATTTATAGCTTTAAGTTACGGAATTGTAAGTATAGCGGTTGCATTCATGGCGCAATTTCTCGGGGGAGTCCTTCAAGCCTCGTTAACTATTTTTGGTGTAATCGGAGGTCCACTTCTTGGATTATTCTCATTAGGAATGTTTACCACTACTGCTAATCAAAAGGTAATATTAGATTTGTTATGAAAATTTAATATTATCATGTCTCATTTTTTTAGGGTGCTCTGACTGGATTAATTTCTGGAATATCTATAGCTTTGTGGATGGCTTATGGAGAACCAAAACCTAAAGATAAGATACTCCCCATGACCGTTATGGGCTGTCCTGATTATCTGAATGCAACAGCAACTTGTATGCCTGAATATCAAGATGATGGGTATGTCATTTATGCTTTATAATAAAAACTTAAATTAATATGATATATTTCAGTGAATACTTTTGGCTGTACCGAGTATCTTACTTATATCGCGGCGTTATGGGATTAATAGTCACGTGTGTTGTTGGTTACTTAAGTAGTTACATAGTGAACCAAATATGCGGAGCCCAGGATCCCGCAACGATGGATCCCAATTTATTCATACCACCACTTGCTAGGAAATTGGAAAAACAATACGACAAAAACTTAAAAATGCACGAGGTAAGTTATATATAAATATATGTATAAACACGTTTAGTGTTATACTATTTCCATTTGTATATATTTCTATGCACAAATTAAAATCTTTTACGTCACAGACGAAAATAGCTACAATTTCAAAAGAGGAAGATAATTTTAATCACCGAGGACAAATTGTAGATTTCCCAGGTTGGTTTCCACTATATGTTGAACGTCTTTTGTCTTCAATCACATGGCTTTTTAAAAATATAGTGTTTGCAGGTTGTATTGTTGGTTGCCTATTATAATCAAATAAGTCAACGTTTTACAGAGTGAAATCATTACTAAACATGAGCGATTACTTATCCTCTAATACCATTAAACTCATTCTAATTGATAGAATCCTTGAAATTTCTTGAATTAATTGATGTTTTTCTCACTTTCAGATGGATAAAATGCTTGAGTAAACTAGAAACAGTGAGAATCAATCTTGTTAGTGATACCTTAGATATAGATACGAAGATTTAAAATGTAATTTTGTTTAATTTTTACTTATTGTTTTTAGAAAAATTGTTGAGTTTTTTTTTGAATCAACGTCTTCCATACAAGATCAAATATACTGTTTATATATTTAAGATTTTTTTTCTAAATCTCAAATATTTTTATATTTGAAAAAAACGTTTTATAAATGTTGTTACATTATTTATTTTGTTAGAAAAAGCAAATAAACGAATGGGTTTTTATTTATGTTCAGCTTTATTTACAAAATGTATCTAAATCGAAATTGGTAACAATGTGAACCAGTATAAGTATCTATTTAAAATGTACTAAACATCAAAATATACTACCTATTACTTTAATTTTTCTTTTATATACAATATAGAATATTTTGTTTGTTTGAAAATATATTAATCTTTACTACTGAGAAAATGGCAGCAATTCGGGAATCAGTGCTGAGCAATGAATTACATGTTAAGAAAGGAGCGATTCACTAAATTAGAGAGCATGTCACAGTCGTTATACAATTGACTAATTCATATGTACATTTCAGACTTTTAGGAGTTAGAATTCGTCGTGAAAACTCCTGGCGGTGTCAACCATTTTCGATTTTAGGAATAGATTCGGATGGGCCAGGATTTCATCCAATGATATCATATTGTCCTGATCGTTGTCTGCAAGGGCAAGAAGGGCTTCGGCTTCGTGTTCACTGTGTCGTGGACTTTGCGGAGCGACGTAGTGCAATAATTCCCTACGATCAGCTTTGCCGTCTCCGTTTAAATCTATGCTCTTCCGGAATTCGGAGCGTCTTTCCTTTTCATCTTGACGTACTATTACAGTCTCTTCTTCACCTAAAAACGAGTTCTTCGAATCGTTTGATGTAATCGTACGGGTTGTTTACCTTCGGTTTGCAAAATGGCAAATTCGTCTTCCGTCAACAATTCATCGCCGTCTCTATCGAATTTGTCGTAAAGGTCATCGACAAGTGCCAACTGATTCGTGGCACTCGATTCGGGATGTGTGAAGGTCAGGAATTCATCAACTGTTAGCGTATCGGGGTTGGTTCTTGCAGCTTCCATCCACGACGCTTTATCTCTCATAATTTGTTCTGAAAACAAGTATTTCTTATTTAGAACTTTAAATGTGTTGCATTTTCAAACCTTTTAGAGATCTTTCTAATCCTTTGTGCCGTTTTTCGTCGTGGTTTTTAACATATTTCTTACTGAATCCGCGCTTTTTTAGAAAATAACTGTGGTACTCCTTCCACGACACTACTCCGTTTTTAGGATTCCTGTCAATTAACGAGAAAAGACCATAGTTATTGCTTACAGCTGACGTTATATGTTCAATGATTTTCATTCTAATCCATTCAGATAGTTCTCTAGTATCCAACTTTCCATTTTTATTTTTGTCAGCCCTACAAGAGTAATATAGTCAGAAAACTATAAATAATACTATAAAAAGTAAACATACTGTTTCATTTGATTAGAAATTTGATAAATATATAAAATGTACTTACTTTTTGAATACATCTTCCAATATTTCTGTTTGATCCTTGTTTATATTTTCTTTGTTATTGACATTTATTAAGTATTCATTCTTTTCGTTGAGCAAATTATCTTCTGCATTCTTATCTGAGTTAAAGTTACTGTTTTTCATACGTATCTCGAAGGTGTCCTCGACGCCTCTCTTCAATTCCATGGGTGTATCGTTTGGTATTTCGATGCGGATGTTGGGCTTTAAAGGTACGGAAAGTGTCCAGATCATAATGAAAAACAATATGTAGCAGAGTATTGGCACTGTGAAGGACCATCTATGGCATATGGTTAGGCTGCTCTTGTTCATTATGTTTCTCTTTAATCACTATATTTAATATCACTTCAAAAAATCACATAGTTTTATGGGGAGATTGCAGAAAATAGGATTAAAGTGTGTTACATCTCGACGCGGCGAGTCGCATTGGAAAATCGAATTTCTTGAAGCTTCTATAGGTCACCATCGAGTGGCGCCACCTTTACAAGAAATGAAAGTGACTAAACAAGAGCGGTGAAAGTCTTCGATGCATTTGATATAAAACAACACTTAAGGAATCTTCAATTAAATTCGTTTATTTACAAAAAATAGTAATAATACTGTGTAATAACTAAAATATATATATGTATAAATAATAAATAATCACACTGGTATAACGCCGTTTGGCTTCTCAGCTTCGTCGCTTATATCTAGTGATGCATTCAAAACCCCTTTAAGTCCTATGTCCTTGCTTTGTTTGCTTTGCTTTGGTGGTAGATTCAATTTGTTCCTAATGCACTTCGGTAGGGAGGCCAAGAAGTCCTGAATTGGCGGGGAAATTAAATCTGCGTCAACTTCCTGCGGATCCGTACATCCAGTCAGGACAGATGTAATGACTCCAACAATTAGAGTTACCATGAATCCGATTGCGGAATACCATAAGAAGGAAATTCGGTATAAGAAGAAAACTTCAGATCTGAAATATCATTAGTTAATGAAACTTTAAACAATGGATATTAAATGTGCAACATACTCGTGACTTTGAACTAAAGCTTCTGGAATAATGGTGGCATTCAGACATGGGCATTGTTCAGTGCTGCTGGGTTTTGAATCTTCAGAAAGGTTTCCACTGGCTATCGCGATTTGTTGTCCTAATCCCATCCATACTATTAATGCCATCGATACAATAGATCCAACTATCGCTCCCTTAAAAACATTTCATATTACACTTGTTAAATTATATGCATTTAGGTAATTATATATTTGATGAAATTATTATTAATATTATTAATATTGTTGAATTATTATCTTTAGCTTAATGATGACTACTTCATCAATGTTCTATGAAATAGAAATAACTAGTTAATCTTGTTATTAAATGAAGGTCATTGTATATGATATTTACTTTTGAATTAGCCCAAGGGAAGAACATGCCTAAAGAGAATAAGCCTAAGGTGACTCCTCCGACCATTCCATTAAAACTAATAGCGACTTGCATAACGCTACCAAGTTGTTCAACTACGAACACCTAAAATCAAAGAGAAGAAACAAAAATAATTATATCAATCAATAAATTACTAATATTACCAAAGCAAAACTTAATGCTCCGTATCCAATGGAAATCCATTTGGCCCATAAAGCTCCTTTGGAATCCGGCATGTTTATACCGAAAGCTCCGGTAACGAAATCCTGACAGGTCACCGCGGCTAAACTATTCAAAGCCGAGGCTACCGTACTGCAAGTGCACTAATCGTGTTAATAATTTATATTTGACACGCTCAATATCAGTCAGACATACCCCAAGCTAGCGGCAAAAATTCCAGCAACAAAGAAACCGGTCATTCCTTTGAGATGACCCATTTCGGAAATCACGTAGAGCGGTAAGATCTGATCGGAGGCTTCGATATCTCCAGCTAGAAGAGGATCGCAATTGCGGTAATGCGCCACCATGATCATACCCGTATAAAAATTGATGGTGTAAATTAAAATTAATCCAAAGCACGAAAACCACAGAGCCCTAAAATTAAAAGCATTGTAATTTGACTAATTTATTTGGTGGCTGTAAAATCTAACTTTCTAACTTGAGAAATGCGTTCAACAGACATATATTTTTGAATTGACGCTTGATTCGAACAGAACATTGTCATCCAATAGAAAGTACCTCCTAAGACGACGGACCAAAAGCTGTGGCGAATTGTTGGGTTGGGGTTCATGCTAAAATGCAAGTATTAATACATCGGATATGATGAGAATGTTTTAACGTACTCGAAAAGTTCCAAACGTTCGGTGTTGTAGTTCTGAGACCAGATGACACCGGCGCCTCCGACAAATTTTTCCCCAAAATAAACGATGAGCAGAATCGAACCGAGTAACACTCCTGCTTGGAAAGTGTCCGTCATAATTACAGCCTTCATTCCGCCTTGCGACGCGTAAAATATGCAGACTACGTATACCACAGATACGGCCAAATATACGTTCAATCCGGTAACTGCAAAATATTCGATTTGGTAAGTAAACAATTTGTTAATCATAGGTGTCATATTTTACCGCGACTTAAAGCTAGGGCCGGGGCATAAACAGCGACGCTCGTGTAAAGAACCATCTGCAAGATGTAGAGGCCACTGGCCAAGTAACGAGTATTCGGGCTAAACCTGAGCTGCAGGTATTCGAAGGTGCTGGTCAAACGGAGCTTCATGTAAACAGGAAGATAGAATTTCGATGTCAACGGAACTACCAAGATGAAAGCCAGGCATATCATCCAGTACTGACTTCCATGAAAGTACATTTCCGCCGGATTCCCGAGAAGTTCGATGGCCGTAATGAAGCTGCAAACACAAACAGGTTAATCATCGTTGCTCAATAATCCATATTTTTCGGAATGGGTAAAATCTGGAAGCCCGACGTTAATTGCACAACATGTGTGCATGTATATGTGAGTGTGAGTGTCCGAAAGCAGAACAAGTTCAAACCAGACAGCTCTGGCCTGAACCGAATCCGAACGATTCCTGCGCTCTAAAATTCACAATTTATTTAATTCCCACTTGACGTCAGGCGAGAAGAATCAATTAAAATTCCGGAATGAAAAACGAACGGGGAGAAAGAATTAGGAGATGGAGGCACGAACCTGGCAGCCAACGACATCGCCATCGGGAATGTGCCCATCGAACTTCCTCCAAGAAGGAAATCGCTGCTCGTGGTTTGCTTATCCCCAAAGAATCCATAGAAGACGCCGATGCCACAGGATATTACCAGCATTCCGGCAAGGACCACATAGTCGGCCCATGAGAACGAGTTCTTAATGACCGAATGTCCATCGACGCATTGATCAATTGAATCTAAAATATATACAAATAAATACTGTAATATTTTCGATGACACTCATATCATCATCATCGATACACGAATAGTAATTTAATTAATACCATATTACATATGCTGCATCCATTTAAATAAAAAAATAATAATTTAGAATTATTTTCTATTAAAACCTTGACCGTTGAACTTATTTAATTAAATTCACAAAACAGTGGTTCGCAGGGATCATTACCTTCAGTTGATACAACGTTGGAATCATTAAGCGCTCCAAGAACAGGATTGTGGATCAGCAGAATCAACGTGAGGCAGAGTAATCTACTTTTATCTGCCGTAAATTTAATCATCGTTGTGGAATGGCTGCAAATAAAAAGGACACATAATAAATCGATGATTTTCCGGTAAGATTTCCTATGCAAATTGATCAAATTATCATTCGTTGAAGTGTTTTGTATGGCACATGTTTCTGTTTATAGGCAGAAGCTCGCGTGCTCCTCATTATATTTTAATTATACACCGCATTACATAATACCACCGGAACTAATGGTATACATCCACATATACAGAATGTAAAAATTAAACAATGACATGAAATTTCTGATTTTTGTTAAAATTTGCTTGACGTCCCTGCGAATTCATTCAAATACAATTTGGTTACTTGATTTCAAGATCAGGGACGCAAAATGAAGACATAGCATTGACATTGTAATTTCCTATTCCTTTAATACTTTATTGTTGTTCTAACTACTTAGCGCGTTGCTTTAGACTGCCGAATATTAAGATATTAATAAATCGATTATTAGAAACTTGTAGTTTGATTGATATGTCCTTGTTATGGTTATAATTTATAATAGTCCTCGAATAGTTCGACTTAACTAAACACATAAAATCCCATTACATTCCATGACTTTTGTATTGTTTTCCTATTGGTGTCTTGATAATACGCACTAAATTAGTTGAGGAATTTTGTTTGGTACTAAGAATTTTATAGAACTGTTTTAATTGTTAATTGTATGTTTTATTTGAATTTTTAATTCTTGACAGTTTAAATGGGTTCAATGAAACGTTTAATCGTTGTTTTAATAAGCAAATATCAGCTGATAAATTTAACGCACTCTAATTCAAGTGATTAATTAAAAGAGAACGCATAGAACTACTACAATAGATTCAAATAATAAAGCAATGCACATAATTTATATGTTGAATGTTCATCATTATTAACTATATAAATCACAAGTCTTGAAAATATATGGCAAAATGTATTAATAATAACTACATTTTTTTAGTTATACTAATAATCAGAATACAGAATATATTTATGAATATTTTGTGGGATAATAAGTAAATTGTTTTTGTTCTAATAGTTGTTGTTAAAGTGCATCGGTGATCCAATCTAATTGATTGCTAAACTTTGAAGTTAAAAATTAAAAATAATATTATTTGTTTTATTATTTGCGTCTACCATTATTTCAATTAATCAATTAATTTATTATAGTTATATAAAGAGTTCCTGAATTAGAAAAGAAGTTGCATTATGTGTTCATCATTCTTTTAAATAGTAAAATAGTTACCAAAACATAATTAACAAGACAACAAACAAGTTTCAAAGCACAATATACATTTAAACAAGTATGTTGGCGAATAACATTTTGTTAAAATTAAAAATACATGAATATGCGTGAAAGTATTTTAATAAAAAAAATGTAAAGTAGAGCACAAAGTTTTTTTTTATAAAATGTAAAAGCGTTATAAAAATTGATACGAGTCAATTTTTTAAATGATTATTAATTGATTTAAACAATTTATATAAATAAAAGACCAAAACTGTGATGCGGATGAATAAAAACAAGCAAAAAAAAACAAAGACAAATTGAAAGAACCACTTTCAAAAACGTCTTTCAGCCATCCATCAACGAGCGCCAATACATGTAACAACTAACGGCTCTCTCAGTTCTCATTAAAATATTTAGCAAAAGCAAACAACAAAAAAATATATAGTGTATAGAAAGAATACGTAATTTGAACCCAATTTAAACCGGTATGTAAATCGATCGGATTGGAAGAAACACTGTGAAAATCTAAAGATATACATTGATACGCAGTTTATTTATAGATATTTTTTTTTATAATTGTTTGTCGTCATTTGGATTTCAATACCAATAAAAAATCCGAGAAAGGTTGATATTTAAATTGATTAATGTTACTTTTTTTTAATTTTTTGTTATATTTTGTAAATTGTTTCTAAGAATTTATAAGAATGTTTTTGTTATCAGTAATAAAACTATGTTATTGATTTTTAGAAACTGATTTTTTTTGTCATTTTTCGATTATCATTGGTATTCGATTAACTTAAAAAAAGATTGTTGACATTTAAATATTTTTTTTTTTAGTTTGATTGATATATTTCGTAAAAATCTATAGTGTTTTTTATATTTACCAACATGTTTTGTTATCAATAAAAAAAAAATTAATTTAAATAACGCAATAAATTTAAAATTGTAAATTTTATATATGTGTAAAGAAAGTATGTTATCAATAATAAATTCTTATTTTTTAATGGAGAAATTTAAACTAAACTAATTTAAAATTTTATATAATACAATAAATTTTGATTTATTTTCAAGTTAAATAAGTTTATAATTTACATCTTATTATTTAATTTGTTTTGGTTATTCAATTATTTGTATACTTACAGTTAGTTATTTAAGTGTATCACAACCAAAAAAATTAAAATAAAACCAATAAAATTATCCTCTAATTTTAAATTTACGATGCACAAGGAATGTGCGGAATTGGATTTGAATTATTTGCCGATTTGATCGACTGCTGTATTTCATTCGAGTTACTGGTGGGTAACCGTTGGTTAGATAATTGACAGTGGTTGCTAGTAGTAACTGGGATGCACTGGCACGCACGCTATGTGTCGAGTAGATCTGGACAAGTTATTTTTACGAAAACGATACTCCAAATGTTTGAATCCACAATAAATACCTTTTCTTATCCACGGGGGGACACTCTTAATTAATTCCGCAATGGTGGGGAACAGCCCGATACCAAAATCTCCCATTGGCAAACGCAGGCAGTCCGAGCAGACAACGATCTGCCGATCCGACTGTGCGATAATTATTCCCATAATTGTCTTAAACTTAAATCATCATGCATGCACACGATACATATATATTTTTCTCAAATTAATTATATTGAAACTAAAGAAATAAACAAACTAAAATAAGAACAAGATTATAGTACATATTATATATATACCTTTGAAACGGATTGTTGTGAAAGCAAAAACGTTTCGTGCGAATTTTTGATAAATAATTATTTGATAATTATATAAATTCGGACGGAATATAAACATTATTGGCTGCGTGTATGTTTTTTAACGTTTGCTTTGGATTCGTTCTTCTAATAATTACGAATCCTTCACTTTAATTACATTTCCTCATACTCTATTTGCGTTATATTTTTTTTTTATTCCATTTTAACCCAAACTATTTTGATCAAACCGAACGATAAATACGTATCTAAATTGCCAGTTTTATCGGGAAAGATGTAAACTAATAACTATTGATTACGAAATGTAACGTGAGAAAGATTTGTAATACTAATCTTACGTTTTTTTGCATATAAATTATCATCGTCTTTAATAATAAACAAATTTCAATTTGATTATATTATTTTTTATTGAATGTTATAATTTTATGTGTTTTATATATATTAATATCACGCACTATTTGAAAATTGAACAAAATACAATTAAAATCTAAAAAAAATAGTATACAATTTCTTTATATACGTAAATGATACGTATTGTTGTATTTATTAATGTATGAAAATAATAAAAAAATATACAAGCATTGATACAAAATAAATATAATACTAACTATATTTGTTATTTCAAAATAATGCATTCAAATTAACTGGCTCATTATATTAATTTGAAGTCACGTCATATTATACAAATAAGATTGTCAGTACGTCATGTAGTGACGGACAATATAATTTGACGTTTAAGCCTAACTAGTAAATACTGGCATATGTAAGTATAACTGGAACGGTGAGAATAGATCTAATTGCGTAACCTTGAAAAGATTGTTGATGATATCAACATTGTTTGTGTCTATAGAGATGAAAGAGGATTTATAAGAATAAATAATAGATTATACATATGAATTCAGTTCCACTGTTGTGGAAGTATTATTGCATCGATATTTAAGATAGAAAGAATCTTATATTTGTAATGTAATTAGCGAATTGTTGTTAATATATAATATATATATGAAGTAAAAATAATATAAATATTTCAATATTTTACTAAAACAAAAACGTTTCCACAAATATAAATGCAGACGAATATCACAAGATTATCTATAATTGCAATATCGTAAGATTATCACATAAATACTTTACATAATAACAGAACTACATATTATAATATTTCAAATTAGTAATTATTTTTTTTTTATTTCGTAAATTTAAGATCGCGGTTGACATTAATGGATAATATTTTTGATTAAGAGTATTTAAATAAATCAAAATAATATACATTCAGTTAATTTATTAAATATTGAGTTTTCTTCACATAGTGCGGGAATATGAAACCGGACAAATAAAGGGTTTTAGAACCGCATAAAAATGTACAGTACAAACAGAGATTTGAAAAAGGAAAAAAATAGATCATTTATGTTTACAAAAGAAAAATTGTTTTCTACTTTTTTGGAATATATTTTTATTTTGCTCAATTCAAACTTAGTTTGTTTTGAAGTTTTAAAACGGACTGGTTTAAAGGTATTGACGTAGAGAAATATATTTAATATTTATTTATAATAATAAAAGTTACCTACTAAAATTTTGTTGATGTTAAACATTTTATAATAAATAGTATATAAAATAATAAAACATTATAATCTTTATTTAATATAATTTAATATAGGTTGATGTTGTTATTATGATGGGAATCAATGGGAATTCCGGATTGGTTTAATAATTTTAAATTCTTTGTTTATAAGGAAACCATTAAAAACATGTTTTAAGCAAATTGAATCTAATTATATTATTTAGGAGGAAAGGGGAAAGGCCTATTACGTAGATCATTTGCTTCCTAACAAAAAAAATAGAGATATAGTTATTATTTTTCCTGTGTTGAGTTGAAAATAAAAACAAGATCTTTTTTTATATTAATATCAGAGTCAACTTTATTATAGTATTGTAATGACTGCGCGAAAAACAAATTAGATGTCTCATGCAAATAAGGTTTTGAGAATTTCGAACAAAACAGGATTTGTTTTGTGGATTCCGCTGGAATTAGAATGGTCGCACTAATTCGTTAATCGTTTCACATTCGTTTCCTGATATTTTATATCGCAATAATAGAATGTCGCATTGTTCGCATCGATTGTTGCCTATAGCAATTTTACAAAATAAATAATAAGATCTAATTTTAGAAGTAAGAAAGTTTTCTGATGAACATCGTAATGTTTTACTGTAATTAAGTTATGTTTAAGTTGTGTTTTAAGTTATTTTCTATTGGAAAGATATATGGATGTAATACGATTTTGAAGGATGAAATTTTAACTCACGTTTAGGAGATGATTTTATGAAGAGATATTCACTATTATTTAATGTCGTAGAAGTCATATTCAAGGATTGTTTTAGATGATGAATTATAAAGCATATTATATTCAGAATATCTTAAACATATGTACAAATAATATTTGATATTTACACTTGATTTTACAAATAATCACAAATAAACCGTTTTATTCTTGGAAAAGGTTAAGAAGTTGTTATGGAATATGAGATCATCATCTGAAAAAAATATATTAATTAATAACAATAAACATCATTTATTGCATATATGATTACACACATACAAATAGTTATTGACATATATTAATTATTATTCTTTTTTACATAGTAATTTAAAAAGCGCAGAAAATAATGTTTTATATTGGATTTCTGTCGATTGTAGTAGACTCAGCGAGAAAAGCAACTCAATTGCGTTTCGGATTTCTAAACTGAATCCAACTGGAATTGTCTGCAAAATCTCATTGAAATATCCGGATATGTAATTGTTTTGTAGTTTTAAGAATTAATTACAGAAAAAAAACTACAAACATGCAAACCATTATTCAAAAGCTTAGATTTCTCTTTTTTTTTTGGATATTGAATAATAATTATATAACAGTGGAAGATTTTGCAGTTTTAAGGAGACACAATCAAGTTAGTATTTTTGAATATAGTTTATATATTATTTATGTGGGTTTCCCATCTGCTGTGGCACAAAAAACTGCGACAACGTCCTTCGCGATATTTTTGTTGTAGATTTTGTTGACCTTAACAATTGATTTAAATTGCATGCATTATGTTTACATGCTTATTTATTAATAAAATTGTTTATAGGTGATAAAATAATTTGAAAATAAAAATACAGATACACATGTATCTAAACAATTTCTACCAAGTTCGTTACATTATCGTTCCTTTATTTGACGGACACTTTATATGTATCAAGTTTAATTTGCAATTGCTTTATCAATGCTAAACTTATAATATAGAAGGTAATACTTGATTGTATTTCATATAATCTAATGATCGCATTAAAACGTTATGTTGTGATACCGATTAATTAATTAATTACACCCTACGATCATTGTCTGAACATCCTGCTATCCTTACATCACGAGTAAATGCAATGTTTTGCATTCCGCAGGATTCACTCAATTAACGAAAACAAAAGATAAAAATCGTGAAAACAAACACTCTGGGATCTCGCTGTTGCGCAATCGAAATAAAAAAATGATGTAATTAAAAGATAGTGCTTCTACATTTTGATCGACAAACAATAAATCAGTTGTTGGCAAAATGTGTACATTTGCAATTCTAATCAGGTTTTTCTTCCGTTCATATCGAAAGCCAAGGCGAGTGTCAGGACCGAACGATTTTTTTTTCTATCTGGGAAAAACAGAAAATGTCGCCAATTCGCGAATCGTCCCTGAAATCGGCCGTTGAGTGTGTCAGTTGTGTCCTTTTCATAATATTTTTATAACTTTGCTTCTTCGCAAAAAAAAAAAAAACATATATAGTAAAACCAATGTCGCTTGTCGCAGAGAATAATTGAACCGTTCTTGATCCCAAATTGTTTGTGCTCGCAATAAATAATTCATACAAAGAGATTCCTTCCAAAGCCGACATTCACATCATAAAAAAATACTAATCTAGTAGTTACAAACAAAAAAACGTATTAATTCGTTTTTAATTGACATTTATTGAAATGCCAATGTGTTGTTTTGCGTGCAAAATGTAATTAAATCTTTCTTCCTGAAAAAAACGGCGATCATTAATTATTGCTCTTTGCATATTATCAATTTCCTTTCGAGCTGAAAATGATGTTTTAATAATCTTTCTAAATGGATTTAATCCAATTGTTTCTATTCGTTTCTTTGGAATTTCAAACTAAAATCTTTCCATTTTTTTCATTCACTTCTCGTGAGAGCCAGTTCTACCGCGTTCGCCGAATGATCGGGTTCAATCTGGTTTGTTCCAACGATTTGAGATCCATCCAGTTTTATACAATTTATGCGTATTCTCTGTCTTTTTTATTGTATCCAGTGTCAGTATAGAAAGTGACACGAGGTTTTATTTATGCATAATTATATGTTATAATGTCCTGGACACTCCTGCAAGAATAAAATCGATTTATCTAATAAAATTTCAATGTTTGAATTATTGTCATAATTTTTTTAAATTGTAGAAAAATTATTATTTCAATATTGTAAAATTCAATTGATTTTAATGATTGATTTACATTTTTATTGGTAAATTATTTAAATTATATAAGTTTGATATTGTTTATAAGTTTTGATGGATTCAGTGGAATTCATTCATGCGGATCTTATATAGGCAACCCAGCTACTTTCTATGTACATTTAGTAACACTTTGGCATTGTTATATATATATAACAATACTCTTTTTAGATGAGAAATACACAAAGTTTTAAAATTAATTCAATACTTTAATATTAATAAATAATAATTTTTACAAATGATATTATTACTTTATAATTAAAGTATGAAATTATATTTATTTTGTATAGATTTTTTGCTTTCAATTATTGTTTAGTTAGGTCATTTATTTGATGTATTCATAATATTAATATACATGTAAAATTAATAACTTCGTTTGTTATATACACAATGATAGCAATTACAATAATGCAATCTTATCATCATACTATTTATGCATAAATACCTTATTTAAGTTTGATACATTTGTTTGTCACAAAGCTTTTTAATAATTAATTTAGTTATATTCGTTATTATTCATTTTCAACCGTGTGACTAACATTTGTTTTGACACATACACATTTTAACTTAGGTGCTAAGTTTTCCAGATAATATTACATATTTTTTTTAATTATTCATAAAGTACGCTTAGATCTCTGGAAGAATAAATTAAGTTTAAATTAATCAAGATTTCATGTAAATTATAACAAAGATTAGCTTATTCGATGAATTACCTATTGGATTATTATAATTATAATATACTTTGTTTTGCGCGAAAAGTATAACAAAACTAATATCAACTCTATCAAGTCTATAGTTTATATAGATCATTTATATAAATAGATAGACCATAAAATAACGTAATCCTAATTTATTTCAAAATAAACTATCAAAACATTAAGAAAAACGGAATAAGTTTGATTTATATATGCAGAATTCTAAGAATTATAAGATGAATTGAATAACATCTATCAAAACATTAAGAAAAACGGAACAAGTTTGATTTATGCATACATATTTCTAAGAATTATAAGATGAATTGAAAACTAACACATTAATTTCGATGCTTTAAAATTTTATTTGAAGGTGATTTTAAATTCAAGAATAAGCTGAAAATAAGAATATAAATAAGGGCAAGCATAATAAAATAAAGAGGTAGTCCTTTTAAAATGATATATTTATAAACTTAAATCTAATGTAGAAATAACATGTAATCAAGTCTTAATGATGGTAAGCGTTGTAACTGGGAATGATGGCTTTGGCAACGAAGGTTTTTTGGACGACTGGTTGTCCCTTGTATTCAACCTCAGCATTGAAACCATTGTGTGCATCAGCGGTGTAATGAACGATACGGGTGACACCATCAGGTTGTACTAAGGTGTAGTATCCCTTGACAACATCTCCGTCACGTTCTTCGTGCTGGTTCTTTGAGTCTCCAGTGTGAGCATCTTGGACGGCGTATTGGAACGAATATTGAGGATAGGCATCTGGGTACACTTCTTGGTGAATAGCTTTAACTACTGGAGCATAGTGAGCGACTGGAGCAATGGTCTTCACGACTGTCGGTCCATGATTAATGGATGAGTAAGAAGATGCTTGATGTCCTCCACCATAATATCCAGCTTGAACGCAAGCTATGAAAGCGAAAACTGCCAAAATCTGAAATAAAAAAGTTGTATATATTTCATTTTTTAGTGTATTTATGGATATTTACCTTAGCGAACATGTTTAGCTTGAAATGGTTCTTTACTGACTGATTTGATAGATGGTTTGGGCGCTTTATATACGAGAAATTTGATAGTGAATGTAGAGTGGCGAAAAAACGGTTTGTTCCAAATATTGCGAACGTTGCCCAATCGAGAAAAAACGGCAACAATAAGAAAAGCGAAGTGCGTTACATGTTGCAGGTATCTACATAGACAATACTAATTTGTAGTAATGAACTTGGAACGTTTTGTTCCGCACATGTCATGCATAACTCAGAACAAATGCATACCCAAATATTTGGTAATTCTCTTTGAAATTCCATTATGAAATCCTTTTGTTAGATTTTTTATTTCACTGTCATTATTTGGAAATTACAGATCAATGTATATACTAATAAGATATTTTCTAATCTAGTAAGTTAAAATTGTAATGACATATACGTAACTATAATTTTAAATATTTTTTAATGTAATTTATCATAATATTTTAGTAATTATTACATAATTACTTTAATTAGTTAAATTAAATATATTTAAAATCTGTTATGAATATGTGAAATACAATGCTCATATCTAAGTTTTATACATTATTTATTTGTTTATCTACTGGTGTCACTGTCATGTATTAAGAACATATTTGATAGAATTTACTATTTAGTACTAATATTATAATATTAAAAAAAGTTTAAAAAAAATATAATTTGTAAATTATACAAATTAAGCATACGACGATTAACGAATAGGATGTGTTCTACAAAATTACATCATTAAACGAATCCTCGTTCTTAGAGGTAAATATACTATTACTATAATGGAAATACGTTCCTTCGTAAAGAAAATGATTTTTTTTTAACAAATAATGTAATAAATATAAATAATAAAACTTAGATTTAAAGTGAAATCATATTTAAAAATGTTAATCTAAATTTTATACATTATGTATTTAACAATTGCCTATTCTTCCTAACTCAGAATGATTTTCATTACAAAAATTAAAACGTCATTTAAGCACCTTTTTAAAACTTGGTTATTAATATATTTCATTAGGAACTTGTTTTATTTAGCATTCAATAAATTTATAACTTCCGTTTCATAGCCATTTTCGTAATCTATTGCTATATAATTACTTTGATCCAATTTTCTTCTTTTATTAAAAATGGCTATCTTTTTGTGGACTTTGTTATATTGAAGCTTTGATATCAAGGTTTCCTAAACATACTAATTAAAATGTTTGTGTCTTATGTTGTGATTCTTATTTTGTTTTATAACATCGTATAAACTAACTAAAAATAATTCCTATTGAGAAATTAAAGTATGACAAGATAAAAATGCGAATATTACAAAGAAAATATAATGGAAATTGGAAGTAATGCGATAAATAAAACATTTTCTTTGTTCATGAATGAAATAGTTTCATTTAAAAGTAAAATAGATAAGATTTGTCATGGTAAAATCCATAAAAGGAAGAAATAATAATCATTCCGTAAAAGGTTGAACTTTTTGGAAACAAGGCGGATTTTATTAGAAAGTAAACAACTGCTTATCTAGGAGTTTCAAGGAATCAATCATCTCGATCAACAAATACTTTCAAAACTTTGTTGTAAGTAATTATTTGTTATATTTTTTTGTAACTATAATGATGGTTTTCTTAAATTTACCTAATATATTTGTTTATTCATAAGTAAACATTTTTTATAATAATCATGGTCTAAAAATATATTTTGTATTTCACTTATTTAGTATTGACTACATAGGTCATCTCCAAAAAGTTATTTTTCATTAACGAAAGATTAAAATAATGTAATGAGTTGTTTAGAATTAAGAAATAATTAATGAATGATCTATGGCCGTTAATAAAGCCCTTATAAACGGTTTATGTTTGTTGTGATTTGAATTATAAATACGTATTGATTTTTGTTTATTGTAAACATTATTATTATTATTTAATAAATAGTTGAAATAAGTGTTTCAAATTGCTTATACAATAAATTGTACTTTACTAATTGAAATATGAATTGTATAAAATAGTGATTTCATAATAAATGCATTTAAATAAAGCTGAAAGACTGCTGTCAATACTCCTTCATATTCGTATTCGAACATAAAGGAGTTTGTTATTATATTGTGTTTATTGTTATTATAATTACAATGGGCTTCATTGACGTCTTCATAATACTAAATATTGTTTTAATTGAATTGATAAAAATAAAAATACTCTGGGTATCATTTTCTTATATAATACAATGTTTATTTATTAATATAAATATTTTTATTTGGAAATAATTAGTGGAAAGTATGGAAAGGATATTTTTAAATTAAAAAGTTAAATGTGTTTTAAGTATATAGCCTCGTGTATTTATTAAATATTATAAATCATAAAAGTAAGTATATATATATATATAAATTGATAAGTGTATGAATAATGAATATGATATGACATCAATGAACAGAGATCTCTTAATTATATACAATGTTTATAAGTAAATGTGAAGTGGGATTTTAATGGTGGTAGGCATTGTAGATGGGCGCGGATACGATAGTTTTGGTTGGGATAATGGCTTTGGTGATAACAGCTTTCTGAACGGGCTGACCTTGGTATTCAACTTGTGCGTTGAATCCGTTATGGTCATCAGCGGTGTAGTGGACAACGCGGGTGACACCGTCTGGTTGCACAATGGTGTAGTAACCTTTGACTACATCACCGTCGCGCTCTTCCTGCTGGTTCTTTACATCACCGGTGTGTCCGTCTTGGATACCGTACTCAAATGTGTACTTGGGGTAGGCATCGGGGTAGATTTCTTTGACGACCGGAGCTAAAGCTTTGACAACAGTTGGTACTTGGTGGTAGGTCGCGACAGGGGCGGCATACGCCACCGGTGCTTTGATGACTGTGGGCGCATGGTTGATGGAGGTGTAGGAGGATGCCCCATGTCCACCGAGCTCGAAGACTCCTGCCTGTGCGCAGGCTACAAAAGCGGATACGGCTAAGATCTGGAAATGTAAACCGAATAATTGAAATGTATGGATAAACAAGTTTTAAAATTAAAGGCTCACTTTTGCTATCATGTTGTAGTCACTTGAGATCTCACCGCTGTACTGATACTAATTGAACACGCCTGGTTTCTTTTTATACCCGATTCGTTTTCGTTGAAAGTTACTCGCTTTTCGTACTTTACGCAATCGCGAACTGGGGCGGCTCTAAAAATATGTTTAAACATTTATTGAGTCAATAATCTGTAAACGAAGTATAGAAAATTGTTATAGTTTATGAACATTAAATCTACATTTTTTAAATATTAATTTACTTGTGCATAGTAGGAATTAATTATTTCTATCATTGCAAAAAATCTTAAACATGATTTATTTATAAATACAATAATATATACGTATAAGAGGATATTTGAAATTAATAAATAATATTTAAATGTTTATAAATATTGTTATTTAATTTTTTTAATTTTAAATTAATAGAGCGATTTCCCTATCAATTTTATATATTACAAAAAAAAGTGAACTATTAGCTATAATAATGTGTTTTCTATATATTACATCTTATATATTACAGTCACATATAAATATTTTGGTTATTAAAATTTTAAACATAAATAGTTTTAAACTATTCAATATTTATATTTAGTTTGACTTGACTTGAAAATATTAATTTTTATATAAAAATGTTATTATAAAAGTTACTTTTTACTAAAAATAAATGATTATTGAATACATAATTTTAGTAATAAACTGTTAGAAAATAAAAATTTCTTTTTTTCTCAATAATTAGGTCAGTTGATGTCACATACAAAACATTTCTGAAATATTCTATAAAAAATCAAAATGAATTTCTGTAAAAGATACGAATAAAATAATAAAATAAATAAAAATGTAATACATGGACTCCATGAATAGGTATGAATAAGGACACAGTGAATCATATTCAAAAGTCATCTATTCCTAATGCTGATATTAAATACTTCTGCACTATATGAATGAGATGATTACCTAATTGAAAATGAAAATAAATAGAAATTAGAAAAAAAAAAGAAGACAAATGATATAAAATTACGACCAGTCCTTTTTATTTTTAAATATTTCAGTATTCCAATTGTATAACCATGTATAGAAATATTTTGCAATTGTCTATAAAATATAATGTTTTTTTTTTCTTATAAAAATATTATATAATCCAGAAACATCCTGCTTGATATATGAAAGAATTCAAGTGATGTTTACATAAATAATAAATATTTCGAAACTGGTTTAGTCAAGTGTACTCGTACTTTACCGGTTAATATTTGCAAATAAAGAGATTTGATTGTATATTTATACATAAATAATAATATAATATAATCTGTATTTTCCCTTTTTTATAATCTTTGAAAATATAATTTACATTTTCCTATTTAATATTTACGAAATAGTATTTACAAATTAAAAAAAAAGATTTAATTAAACGTATATTTTAGTAAAACAATCAATGCAAAAAATGTAATTGTAATATAAAATATCGACCCTCAACCTTCTACGTTTTGTGGGTGTCTTGTTCATCGTTATCAGCAAATTCTTCTACCATCAAATAAAAAAAAATATAAAAATTCCATAGTTTTTACAATAATATTAATATTTTAGATTTAAAATGGGCCAATAAACATGAGGAAATATTAATAGCACGACAAAATAGAACTTTCATACGCACTTTACACGATTAAAAAAATCCACAATAGAATATTACAATTAAGTTTCAATTAAATTTTTCAAATCGAACTATAGCGAATCCAGTATAAGAATTTTATTCAAAATTATAAACTCATGAAGTAATGAAAAATAAATAAATTAATATTCTCTTTTCTCGACAAAAATAGACATGTTAAAAAGTTTCTAGAGTAGGCAATAGGTCATAAATCATAGAAAATATATTTTTTAAATTATTTATTAACAAGTGTCAAATTATATACAATAACAATAGGTCATATTTTAATGGTGGTATGCGTGGTAAACTGGAGCGGCTACAGCTGGAACAACAGCCTTAGCTACTACAGCCTTTTGTACAATTGGTTCTCCTTTGTATTCGACATTGGCGTTGAAACCATTGTGGACATCAACGGTGTAATGGACGGTACGGGTGACACCATCAGGTTGGACCAAAGTGTAGTATCCCTTTACTACATTACCATTACGTTCTTCATGATGATCCTTGATGTCTCCGGTATGGGAATCTTTTACTCCATATTCGTAAGAATAATGAGCTGGAACATCAGAGTAAATTTCCTTCTTGATGACTGGGGCTACGACTTTGGCAACAACGGGAGTGATGTGTGCTATTGGAGCAACTGGAACAGCATGAACAGGTGCTGCGGCTATATTCACAGTAGAATATGAAGTAGCATGTGCATCATGATGTAACTCAAATACTCCAGCTTGAGCAAACGCTACAATAGCGGAAATGGTCAAGATCTGAAAAAAAAGAAAATTTTATAGAACTTATAACTTTAGTTAGAATATGATATACAAATTATTGAAATATGCCTTAATTTTAATTTTAAAGATTTAGAAAAACAAAAATTATAATTGCTAAAGTACTACAGATATAATATAGACAATTTTATATTACTTTGAGTGATAAGAATAATCATCATTAGACAAAGTAAGCAGATAATTCTTGCAATTAAAAATTAAACACTTACTTTAGATAACATAGTTATTTTTCGAAGAGAATGTTTGTTTTGAAAACCAAACTTGATACTGATGTAGATCCAAATTGGCTTTTGGTTTATATACGTGCTCCATATAATTAATGCTCTAATTATAATACATTACGCTATGCATTGATTAATTTCAATATTACAAAACTGAGCGATTTATGTAATAGTATCCGAATTATCTATCAATATGAAATTGTATTTTAATCAGGTACATTATATACACAGAATCAAGGTTCGATACTTGCCGAAGGACAACGCTCCGTATGTTTTGATTTTGTCATGTAATGGAAACATACTTTTCATTTTTATCTTAAATTAAATCAATTTATTTACATTTCCCAATATCTATTCCACAAATAATAGTATATTTGATGTAAATTGTTCTTACTTTTTTAAAATTATTTAAGAATTGTTAATTTATTTATTATGTTCGTATGTTATTATTTATATTAGTTTATTATATAGCTTTTCCTATTGTTGTAGAAAAAAATGTTTTACTTATTTAAAATTGTCAAATTGAAGTTTTTGTGATTTTTTTTTTTATGGAAACACCGGATACTCTGGAGTTACTTAACTAATTTATCGCAAAAGGCAAATTTAACGTAAGCATTTCAAAACTATTATACTTAGAATAATAACATATATTATAGTAAATAAAAATAGTAAACAACAAATAAAAATGAAATTATAAAATAATAATAATTATTTCTAATGAATTTTTATATTTAAATTACATATTATATTTTTACATAATATACATTTTTTGGTATATATAAAGCAATTATGAGGCAGTTAATTAATGAGTAATAATTAGATTACCGTAATAGAGGTGGTTTTATTAATTTTTCTATACAATTCAAATAATATTGCATTTTATATATATATATTTGTGGAATACAAAACATGAGTGATAGTCAATACAATAAATATATTTTAAATTTGAGATTACGTATTTTTTTGTTATATTATTAGTCAGTAAAATAATGAGTACGGCTTCGATTAGTTCGGATTCACTACTAGTATGACTTTAGAATTACTTAAAATTTCTTAATTATTCAACTCAGAATGAATATGGATATATAAAGTAAATCGAGTCTAAAAAGGGTAACGACTAATAATAATTTCTCTTTCTTCCATATAATACTGAAACAGGCACGGTCTAAAAAGCAAGTAATTTATATAATTGAACGCGTTACTTTTATTTTTTGCTTGGTGCTCGCTACAAATTACCAAATTATACTTATGCAGAAAATTACATCAGACGGCCGAAATCGATCATAATGCGATGGCAACATTCTTTAAACTCATTACCCGTGAAATGCACATTAGCCGCACACTTCAGAATGGTTAATTCAAGTGAACAAGAGAGAAGAAAAGAGAAGAGGAGAAAACAACATAACGTGGACCGAATGGGAATTGGCCTTTTTCTGAATTGCACTTTAAATTTGTCTCCGTTCCTTCGTTTCGTCATCTCTCTTTCTCTCGCACAATCGGCGAGAATTTAAATAAATAAAAGTGGGTTAAATTGAATGAGAGATACTTTAAGTTAACATGCTTATTTTTAATTGAATGGGAGTGATTGGGCTTTTAACGTTTCCTTATATATATAATATTATTATTTCTTTTCTTATACAAGCATTGCGCGCTCGGTTTTTAACGCACACGATGTCGCAAGAATACATTTCTTTTTTTTACACACACACACACATTATTGAGCAATTTTATCTGGAGCAACTTGAATAAAGAAAACGAACGAAAAAATGACCGACGGTAAGTGCCTGTATACATGTAATAATGATAAACGCATGTGCGGCTCCGAAGGTGGAGGTTTACATAAATCAATGCAACAAAAAATATACTAAATGAAACGAAAGAGAAAAACGTTAAATCGAGCATTTATTGTCCGGGATAAATCAGCGATTAAAGTAAATTATATTCCATTTCGTATCCAATATATCCTATAAATCACGTTAGTTAATATCTTAAATATAGTTTTCTTAAATGCTTTTTATACTGATTTACTATCGTTAACATTATATAGCATTCCTTTTTGGTACAGGTGATAATTTTTAAGATCATAGAGTTTTAATTATTAAAATTCGAATGGGCAGAAATAAGATAGCCCAAACTAGGGCCAATTATAAATACAAGTATTATTGTCATAACTTCTATATTTTTTAATATTTCGATAATTATGTAACATGTACAACTAAAAATTTCTTGTTTAATTAATGTAATTTGACACCTGAATATTTTATCATTTGAGAAATATAAAAAAAGATGTCTTAATGCAAGATTTTGAAATGAATTTTGTGATTAATAAGTTCTACTTTCTAGTCAATCAAGTTTTTCTTCCATCTTCCTAAT